TAGGTCAGGTCACCAGGTCACGCCAAGTGACCTCACCTCAGAAAAAATAAGAATGCTCGTCATAGCTACACCGATTGATTGATTGCCTTGAAACTTTCAGCGATTGATTAGAGCAACATTATCTATAAAATGTTTATCTCGGAATTTTGATATCGGTGACCTAAGGTCAGGTCAATTTTGCGACCTCTCCATTATAGGTAAGTCAATGTGAGAAAATTGAAAAGCGTCTGTTTTGCACGAACGCTATTCTAGACACTCTCAAACATCGAGATGTAGGTAAAATGGACACACTGAACCGGAAAATTGCAACTGTGACCCCTCGTTATGTCCCCGAGGTCATCTCAGGTCACGAACAGAATCTAACAGTTTTTCGCTAATTACTTCTGATAGAGACGTGCTAGAGCGCTGAAAACGCCTTAGATGTGTTCGGCTCGACGTTGCGGATCGACTGATATGCAACATGACCTTTTCCGGTCAGGTCATGACCTTGACCTGAGGTCAAATTTTCAAGTTGACCTTTCAAGGTCAAATTATAGTTCATTCGACGCGTCTTGACAAGAGGAACACGATGGTGGCAAAAGTAATGTCGTGGCTCTTTTGAGTCAAAAGTTATTGCCGAAAAAACGTTTTTCGTAAAAACGGCTATTTTTGGAGTTTTTGCCCTCTGGAGGCTAAACCGTTGACCTGAGGTCAAATCTGAGACCACTACTCAGAAAGGTCTGTAAAAGGGCTATCGAATGCGCTTTTCCGCGGCGCTGTAGCTCTATCGGTTCCGGAGATAGCCGTTGGCAGTTTCCAAAATGTTGAAATAGTGGACATTTGACCTTTGGTGACCTCTGGTGACCTGACCTTTGACCTGACCCAAAAAATGACCGAAGTGTTTTCGTCCTTATTTTGGACTTTCTTTCGAGTGCCGGGCTTACCGCGTGTCGCTACGTGGCCCAGGAGCCGAGTTAGAGGCGGGGGGGGGGGGGGGGGGTTCAGACAGCCCCCCCCGGCCCGGCGCGGAATCTCAGAGCACCGGCCCGGCGCGGGATAGTTTTCTTTGTGCAGTCAAACTCATGAAGAGCTACATGAGGCGCATCGCATCCTATGCATTTCGATGCCAATTTCATGATCCATGGGGCTGAAATTGTTATCTCGACCGCCATAATTCCTCAGTTCCTTATTTTTGTAGGTCTTGCGTCTAGTACCTACCTATCTATAAGTACCTACACTACCTATAGTGTACCTAGGTCACACATTGTCATACCTAAGCGTACCGACTGACGCGCACACGGCGGCGCGGCGCGAAATTCGCCGTTTTGTTTCAGATTACACGATTTTCCGTAGCCTTTTCATTGTGTATTTGTATTCTTTTTTACTTATTTTCAGAGTGTGATTAAAGAGATTTGACTTTCCCATTCATAACCACATCGAATTTTTCTCATACATATGCGAAACAAGTCCATGATATTCCGCACCTGTTATTTGATACCATTAGTTTCGGGCAGCGAAGTGCAATTGTCGGCCGCCAGTCCATTCCACGAGCCCTATGCTTTCGGTCCTTTTAATTCGTGCTTTCGTTGTCATCCCGTGCCGTCAACCCATGACTGTTCCGACAATAGGTACCTATAGGTACGGATCGTCGATTCGTATCGACCATCCGTATGGTCAGTCCGTACTGTCAGTCCGTACCGACCATTTATGTGCCCGTTAAAACCCTCGCCCGCACATGGGGGCGGGTTGCCACCCCCCCCCCCCCCAGGTAGTCTTTCTGCTCTGCACTCAACATTTTTAGAGCTAGAAGGCTGATTGTTCGTATAGCTGCTCCTCTATCCTTTCTTGATGTCCACTGAGAATTTCAAGTTTCTGTGGTTTTTGGTTTCGGAGATATGACCTTGTTTTTCAGGTCATGTCATGACCCAAATGGCCAATTCTCAACATCTTGCGTTGGCTATGGGCCTTGTGAGCTTTTGACGCCTTGATTTCGGCCTTTTTTGCCAGTCTTACCTCCCACCTATCATGGAACATGTTGTTCGACGATGTACAGATGTCAAGGTCAAGGTCAAGGTCAACCTAGGTCATCTAAGATAATTGCGTTTTAGGTAAGCGGAATTTACTTTTTGTGAATTTTTTTGACTGCATTTTTGGTAAAAGCTTCTCAAATCATCATTTCATGTAATATGGACACATAAACAATCGGTGCACACATCAGTATACACACAGACACACACAGACATACAAACACATATAATTGACCTTGACCTGACTTGACCTCAAATGACCTCAGCGGCAAAAACCTGGTCGGGTAGTGTGACAAAGAGGTTCTAGCTGGCTTGGCACCAGAAAACGGCATCGTCATCGGTATATGATAAGCAGCGCACTTGATATCCAACGGTGACCAAAAACAGCAACATTTTTTAGTTTGACCTGACCTGGAAGGTCAATGATTGACCTGAGAAGGTAAAACTGGGTATCATTGGATTCGTCTCTTCCCAAAGAATCTTTTTGGTCCTTACCGCTAAAGTCTATCTCCAACAGGAACGAAATGGCGCGGAGGGGTGGCAACCACCCCCCCCCCCCCCCATGTGCGTTCTAGGATTGGAAAATGGCATGTGCGGGCGAGGGTTAACACGCGCAGTGGAAGGGTTGCGAGTACTACGCCCAGTGGAAGGGGGGCGGATGTCGCCCCCCCCCCTAAGATCTCAGCTCCCACTGGAGCTAGAAAGACGAAATTTGGAGGGTAGGTGGGGGCCATGGGGAACTCTGTTGTGTGTGAATTGTATGACCCTAGGTCAATATCTTCAAGGTCAAATGAGGTCAAATGTGGTCAAATCTGCCATATTAGCGACTTTTTTGCGTTTACACTCCGATAACTCAAAAAGTTACCGGCCGATTTTTTTAATTCTTTCACTATACGAAAGAACAAACATTTGTGAGTATGTATGGTGAATTTCTAGATAATCCAACAATAAATATGGCAGTTAGAAGCCTGCTAAGGGTAAGATGTCGCCGGCTGAAGCGGCATCGGCCGACGCGGGAAACGCGGCAACCACAATTTTGTGTTTACACACTCATAACTCAAGTTGTTACCGGCCGATTTTCAAAATTCTTTGACCATATGATTGCCTGTACATTTCTCAGTCTTCTCACCGAATTTGACGCGAATCTAATATAATCAGCGGTAAGGAGCGCGATGTAAAGACGGAACCGTCCCGCCCCGGCACAGTCTACAATTCAGGCGGCGCGTAACGGCTAGCGCCGGCCGCCGCGCCGCCGCGCCGCCGCGGCGGCAGGATATTTAACTTTACACCGCTATTACTAGAAAAGTTGTGAACCGATTTTCTTGCTTCTTGCACGAGAAGATCCGCAATTCAATTCTGGACAGGTAGCCGAAATTTCACATTCATGTTATGCTTGTGGCGCGAGTTATTGGCGAAAAACAGGAGGGGTGGGCGAAATCCGCCCCCCCCCCTTCCACTGCGCGTGTTAACCCGTGCCGTCGGTCCCAGAGTCCGACTATACGGCTGCGGCTCGGCTCGCTGCGACTCCGACTCTGACTCTAGCCGGTGCAGTGAGGCCGTCCAGGCAGCGGCCGGTGCCGGCCGGCGCCGTGTCACGCCGTCCGTCACCGCCGCGCGGCCTCATATCGTATTACGGGGGACCGCGTGCCGATCTCGCTGGCTACGGCAGTCACCCACGCCGCCCACCGCCGCGCCACCGGTCTCAGTGAACGACACACGTACCCAGCGCTCAGCAAACTGCTCTCCGTGCGCACAGTGTTCCGCGCCAGGACTCCACACAGTGATCGGTCCAGTGCCGCGAGTCAAGGGCTCGACGCCTAGTGCTCATATGCCTATTCTCTGTTCTGCCTATAGCGCCACGCTTCCTTTATAGCCCGGCGCCAGTGTTGAGTGGCCGGTGTCCGGTCGCGGCGTTCGTAAAGGTTCGAGCGGGTCCTTCCTGGCTGTGCGTGAGCTCTCGGTAAGAGGATGTCGTGCGTGGCGCTGGCCGGACTGCTGCTGATATCAGGTAAGGCAGCAGGTCCGGATGCCCCAAGTAATTGTGCCTATCTTTACATAATTCCTCCGCAGAATCCGGATCCGGCTCGGGCGCAATGTTGATCCTATAGTTCGGGTGAAACGTATCTTTAATAATTCCTGCAGGTAAAGACTGAAGCCATTTAGATATGAACGGTAGCATTTTGCACCGTGCACGCAACCTAATTCGATTCGATATGCCCAACTGAACATCGGCGACGCCCTGCACCACGCTTTTGAAACTTCGCTGAACAGGTATCAGCGACTGACAGTGGGTTCATTGGACGTTACTCGCCTGTCACCCCCCCCCCCCCCCGTTCCGCGTGGTTCTTCCCCTGGCGTTGCTATGCAGTGTAAAACAATTCATTTTTCAAAGTCGTTTAGTTTTATTTAAACCGATAGCCGAGAAAAGATGGCCTTTCGTCAATTTTGGTTGATGCGGGAGAGGCAAATCCTCCAAATGCCATCCTACGCTTTCCGTCGAAGAACAGGTTTCGAAAACAATCTCTTGTCATTATCTAATATTTCTTCGTCACCCTGCTTGGAAGTAGTTAAATGGAAGTATGTATAATACCTTGTGTCATGCGTTTCATTTCACAGGGCGCGTGGCGTCCGCATAAATGACGAATTCGCCTATCTTGTAATAAGGAGCAAGTCTTATATCATGTGTAGGTATAGCATATTTCGTGAATCCCCTGAGATGCCTACCTTCACCATGGAATGACCGATCACGCTCGTTAACAAGTGACGGTTGATGAAATATCCCTCAGCTATTTGTCGTAGACTGTAGACTGACCGTCCGCTCTCCCCCGCACCCGGTATCGTGTTCCAGCGGCCCCTCAGCTATTTGTCGTAGACTGTAGACTGACCGTCCGCTCTCCCCCGCACCCGGTATCGTGTTCCAGCGGCCCCTCAGCTATTTGGCGTAGACTGTAGACTGACCGTCCGCTCTCCCCCGCTCCCGGTATCGTGTTCCAGCGACGCTGGTACCGTCGCCGGTCTGCGCCTCGCTGAAGGTGTGGGGCCGCCAGCTCAGCATGGACTCGCAGCGCGACTGGGTGGGCGGTCGGCGGCCGTGCGCTGGTCAGGTGGCCCTCCTGTCCGACGGCCTGGCGGTGAGAACTGAGTACCTGCTGAACACTGTGGCCGTGTCCTCACTCCTCGGTCCTGGCTCCTTCCGATGCACGTGGGAATATGATTGTACACTACGTTTGAAATGGCCGTCTGTGACGATTCTGACGGTTCCACCACTCCCCTTCAGGTCTACCTGCACCAGCAGTTGGAGGCCCGGACGATGGTGCTGCCCACTAACGGCGAAATCATTCTCGGGGAGGGCGCGTCCGTGGCCTTCGCCGACCGGCCAGCCCCGGCCGACAGTCGCTGCCGCGGCACTGGTGAGCTGAGACCCACCGATCCGCCGTGTGGGCTGATGTGAAAAAAAACACACATGACATGTCTCAATGGCACCAGCGTGCGGGACGTAGCTCATTGATGGGTGTGATTCATGCATTGTGCGTTGTAGATGGCAGCATCTACCTCCGTTAGCGATATTGCATTTCACATGTAGTCTCGTCCCTCTGTGTGTGGTGGAGGTCGCACCACTACTTCATCTCGCTCACTAGCAATGTGACAATCCCACAGTACCAATAAGGCGACTATTCCCACAGTACCAACAAGGTGACTATTCCCACAGTACCCGCCTCGGCCACCTGACCGCCTGTTTCTCCGGCCGCTCCCTAGGTGGCAGCACGGTGCGGTTCGGCGGCTCGGCGGCGCGTTGGATGGACGCCGGCTCGTGGCGCCAGGCGGCGCTGCCGTCGCCGGTGCCGCACTCGGAGCGCGTGCCGTGCGCCAGCGGCGGCGACTCGGTCCGCTTCCCGGAGAACATCACCTACCGGGCGCAGGTGCAGCGCGCCATCACCGTGAGAGAGCTGAGCATCGGACCGCACGTGAGTCCCTGCCGAGGCCGTGGGAGAGGAGAGGGGCGATATAGGCTTACACGTCTCCTGCCCTTGGGGGTGCACGGGCGTTAGGAAGGGTAAGAGTGCCGTTGAAATACCTGAATACTGTACAGATGAACTTTTTCTTCCAGTCTTTTTTAGAAGAGACGTGTATTTGCTGTTACCGCTCAGCCGTGACCTCTGGGCTCCTCCGATTGTCGGTTCGCTGCGCCCGGTGGCCCCTGCTGCCGACCAGCGCACAGTGAAATGACGCCGCGCCCCGGCCGACCCCGCCCCCGGTTCCAGGCGATGGACACAGAGCGGTTCCGCACGTTCCGAAACACCACCGTCGGCAGGTCTCTGTTTGACGTGCGAGCCGGCTTCAACATTACGGGAGTCGGCCGAACCTGCGGTACGGAGGTGAGCCACAGCGCAGCTCCGTGGGAGTGCGTACCGACATCATGGGAGTCAGCGGAGGCCGCGGTACAGATGCAGCTCTGCGGGGGTGGGTTCTACCCACGGACCGACATTACGGGGATCAGCGGAGGCCGCGGTACAGACGCAGCTCGGCGGGGGTGGATACTACTCACGGACCGACACCATGGGAGTCAGCAGAAGTGCGCCACGCAGCTCCGCGTGGGCGGGTTGGGTACTACCCACAGACCGACATCACGGGGGTCAGCAGGGACTGCGGGACAGACTAGTGTGTCATGCCGCAGCTTCATGTAGTTGGAATCTAATTAATAGACCGACATCGGGCACCGCTACCGGGAAATTATAGTAATGCAATTAGCCCTGTTACTTTGCTCACCATGATCTAGAGCTCGAATACGAGAGCTTCTCCATAATCCGGCTGCGCTGCACAGTGAAGACGATAGGTTCTCACTCTCAAACCTGATGCCTAGTGATTATTCCTGCTTAGAACTGAAACAGACAGCTCCTCGTTTGGACGATCTCAATGTGTGTGTGCAACACGTTCTTCATGCGTCCTCCAGCATCGCCACCTATTTTCTTTTGTATTCCTTCATTTTTGGTCTCTCATGCTGCTGCGGGAGCTGAGTGTCCTCCATTTTTCTGTAGGGGTGACCGTATGCGTATTTTCCGGCTGAGTATTTTTGTGTTATTGGCAGGAGTGCGCGTGCGGTAACGACCGTGCTGAGGTGCTCTCTGTGATCTGCGCCGCCACCGAGTGTGCCGAGGCGCCGTGCAGCCGTCCCGTGCAGCCCGTCGGCCACTGCTGTCCCATGTGCGGTGAGCGACCGAGCAGACTGCGAGCAGCAGTGGGGCTGTGTAGGCGGGCCACGGGCGGCGGGTAGGGGAGGCGTGCGTACTATCACAGCCGCGAGGTCACCACTTATTGATGTAGATGTGACACTTGTGTAGCGTAGTGGTAGCTGATGGGAGATAGTCTGGTGTTGACGGTTTTTGAACCGCCGTGTTTTATCGGTCTGTCGGTGACACTGACATTCTTTATTCTACCACCCACTAGGTCCATCAATGACTGGATGACCTGGCCGTGTGTCCCATCAGTCGCCGACTGATAGCCACCGCCATCCGTCCGGATGTGCCCGGTGCTCGCCCCGTCTCCCTCCCCTCCCTCTGACCGTGAGTCCCGGCCCGCCCCAGGAGCCGTGGTGCGGGTAACGCCGAGCGCCGGGCGGCCCGCGGCGGCGGCCGCTCTGCGCCGGCTGGTGCGGCAGCTCCGCGGCTCGGGCGCGGTGCGCTGGCACGTCTCGGCCACCCACGCCGGCCGGCTGCAGGCAGTGCTGGTGGACGCGCAGACGGAGCGGACCGACAGCGCGCGCCTGGCCCGGGAGCTGGCCGACCGACTGGCCGGTCAGTGGGGACGGGCGAGCTGCAGAGGCTCGGCAGTGGGGTGGTGGAACAAAACTGCGCCGCCGGACTCGTGATAGTTAACCCCTGTGCGGCTTCGTAGGCTTGATGTTTGTCTGACAATAGTTTTTTAGCCATATTTAAACTCACAAGTTTTCATCCCCCTGTCTCAGTTGTCGTGACTGACGTATGCCTCTCCTGTGTTCCCGATCCGTGTCTGTGCAGCCGAGCCGGGGATGTCCGGGCCGGAGTTGCACGTCTCCGGGCCCCGGCACGCCGCGCTGACCGGCGGCGGGGGCGCCGGCGGCGGGCGCTCGGCCGCCGGGCCCGTGCTGGCCACCCTGGTCCTGGCCGTGGTGGCCGCGCTGCTCGTCTGGGCCGTCAGGACCAAACGGTCAGTGTCACCCAGACAGGCAGGTTGGTATATGGTCTATCTATAGTGAACTGCTGCCACGCGCACTACCCGTTTGTTCACAGAAGCGAGCCGTGTTTTAGCTCCCGTTGTGATCGTGGGCACCGCTAAGTCCACTATCCGCAGCGATGCCTGACTGCTAGACCAACATACACCCGCCCCCCCCCCCGTGCTACCGTCCCGTCACTGCCTCTCGAACGTGTGTTACTGGACACCCCTGCCGTGCTCTGCGGTGTAGTTCTGCCGCCCCACGGCTGACCCGTGTGCGCCGTGTGCGGCAGTGTGAGTCTACCGGGCAGGGAGCGGCTCCGTCTGCCGCCGCCGCCATCCCAGTGGCACGTGGCGGAGCGGACGGCCGCGCTGGCCGGCCAGCTGCCCGCCGTGCGCCGCCGACTGGCCGCCGCCGCCGCCGCGCCCTTCCACTTCGCCAGGTTCCGCAACAGCACGTGCGGCTCAGAGGCGAGTCAGTCTTCTCCGCGGGCGTACAGAGCCAGAGCCAGGGGGTAGTGCGACCAGCTGCCTCCGCCAGACAGGGCAGGCGGGCTCAAGGCTCAAGTGTTACGTAGTAATATATGCTATCAACCAGTATAACGCCTTATGGGGCGACTAACGGAGCGAGCGAGAGGGTGGGCCTTGCACGTGCGAAATTGCGAGGGGGTACCTCCAACTGACTTGTGCACGGCACCCTACTAACCGGTCTCTAGCGATGTGCCAAATTTGGGCACAATCGGCCCAGCCGTTCTCGAGATCTGGAAGCGGCACCCTGCACGTGCGCACGTGCAAAATGGGTCCCAACTGACTTGTGCACGGCACCCTACTAACCGGTCCCAAACTGTGTACCAAATTTGAGCGCAATCGGTCGAGCCGTTCTCGAGATCTGGAAACGACCCCTGCACGTGCGCACGTGCAGCAGCACCCCAACTCTGGCACATGGATATGCAGTGCCTAGTGGGTGCCTACCTACATGCCAACTTTGAGCGCAATCGGCCAAGTAGTTACCGAGATATTGCAACAATTGCAAAACTGACACCTCTTCGTTTTGCACGTGGCACGTGCATAAGGGGTCACCCACATGCATCGGGAATAGTCCAATACTTGGTAGAAGGAATGAAGCTACCCTACAAAAATTACCGCATGTAAATCGGTCAAGTGGTTGCTGAGATATAAGCCTCGCAAAAGCGTCCGCACGGCCGGCCGGCCGGCCGGCCGGCCGCTCATACTCAGAAATTTCCGTTAATCTAAGGAAAGACTCCGCTCGCTTCGCTCGCTCCGTAATTATGCATCTTCCGTAAACTACGCACAGGTGCGTGTGCCAAATTACTTTTCGCCAAGTATGCACAAGTATGAAAGTTATTCATTGCCCTTATTGTAGTGTCCCGACAGTCTGTCTGCGCTGCCCTCCCCCGTCCTGGCAGTGGCCAGCCGGCGGCGGACCGTCGGCCTTACCACCGGTTCTCTGGCCGCCGCAGGTGGAGCTGGGCCAGCGTGTGGAGGAGCTGGACTCTGCACACGACTCGGCCTCGGTCCACACGGCCGGTTCCAGCGAGCCCGACACCGGGTCCGCCGCACCAGCCGCCGCCGCCCCGCCCAAGGCGCCGCGCTCCTTCGACAACCCCCTGTTCGGAAACACCAAACTGGACGATCACGTAAGTGGGCGCGCCCCTGCCCCCCTCACAGGAGCCTGCCAGAGCCGAGTGTCGCCGACGAGATCATAACGCGCCAGCTGTCGGAAATCCTTAGAATATGACCAGTACTGAGCAGCGATTACACTCGGTACACTCGGGGGCAGATTGATGTTCCACCACTCCCTACCCATCGGGCTCCCGTGGTTCAGAGTCAGCACTGGCTGCTGCCAGTGTTGCCTGCCCTCCTGCACTGGTCTGTCTGCCAGTGCCAGTGCTGCCAATGCTGCCACTGGCAGCAGCCAGTGCTGAGCCATGGGAGCCCGATGGGTAGGGAGTGGTGGAACATCAATCTGTCCCCAAGTGTACCCCGGACCGGATGGGGGTAGGTCCTTTCCTCCCCGTTCCAACTACAGAGCACTGCGCTGCGGATAGTGTGAGGTGGAATGTCCTTCCCTCACTCCCGCCTACGGCCGGTGTAGGGTCCAATGATCTCTTCTCCCGTGCTATAGACAGCAGAGGTGTAAATGTTCCCCTGCCTGCCGTGCTGGATGTAATCATCCCCCCCCCCCCCCCGCCCGCAGGTGCCTGCCACGCTGCTGGCGCCCAGCAGCGCCCTCTGCGTCACTCCCGACGGCAAGTCGGTGGCCAACCCTTTCTTCGGCGTGCCCGTGATCACGGCGGCCGGAACAAACGTGAGCAGCCGGACCAGAGGGCGAGCGCTGGGATACAAACTCAACGGAACAGTCCGGCCAAAACGCTCCGGTGGCGGCCGTTTGCGGCTGCCGCATACGGCATATGTCTCAGTTTTGTTCCAAACGTGTTTGTTGAATAATGCTTACGTGCATACTGTATGATATGAATGATCAAATGCTCTGTGAAAAGCGATAATGTGAACACATTATTGCACAATATCGCTTTTCACAAACGTCAAACTGTCATACCACGATCAAATGCTCATCGTTCCACTCATCCAGTGTTCTAAGATATTGGTCCGTGCCACCCCGTGCCACAGGCTGAGACGGTTGACGCACCGGGCCCTGGTCTGGAGGGCAGCGCCGAGCCGAGCCCGGCAGGCCGGGAGGACAGCGGCGAGTCGTCCCCCGCGCCAGCGGAGGACGCCGCCGAGCCGGAGCCGCCGTGCCCGCAGCCGGGGGACCACACAGGGCCGGGGCAGGGAGCGGACGGAGCCGCCCGCGGGCCGCCGGCCGAGACCGAGCTGCTGATCGACGTCCAGGACTCGGACTGAGTCTGGCCGGGGTACGGGACCCTCGGACTGACCCTGGCCGGGGTACGGGACCCTCGGACTAACCCTGACCGGCCCGACCGACAGCTGTACAACGGCTACATACCCAACCCGAACAGAACCATGCCATTCTGATCACACTAGTCGTCCCATTAAAGGATAGGCGGACCTGCTGGTTATGATCGACCGTGCATGACACCATTGGACGTGCACAGTAGTTGAGTTCCGGACGATAGCAGATGTGTGGCGAGCTGCAGTGCTTCTGTTTTTACTACGCCATATCCCAATCGATTGAGCTGTTGTTTATTTTGCACAAAAGGCATTTATCGTTATTTGTTAACAATTAACATCTATATGTAATTAGCTTATCAAGTGCCTAGAATGCGACGTTTCCGAATGCCGGACCTACTAAGTCATTGTTTAGTGCCACTGTCGCGTTCAATCACGGTAATCGTATCGTGTATCGAATTGAACCGAGGACATGTATCCACCTGACATTGCTAATACATCAGCGAAAACTATTGTTATATCAGTTGCTTGACACAGTTTTGCAACACAATGACTAGGCGACTATCCCAGTGCAATCGAACATACACCAGTTTACAGCTGGCAAAGCGAAGAATGGGTGCCGAGAGCCCAGTCTGACGGCGGACGGCATGGCGTAATCACATAGTGCGTTCTGCCGGTCGGAATGACTCCCCACTGGGGGGCGCGCGCGGCTCACCGGCTCTCGGCGCCGGCCGTCGGCCCGTCCCAGTCGGTGACCCGCGCGGCTCACCGGCTCTCGGCGCCGGCCGCCGGCCCGTCCCAGTCGGTGACCCGCGCGGCTCACCGGCTCTCGGCGCCGCCCGCCGGCCCGTCCCAGTCGGTGACCCGCTCGGCCTCCGGCAGCACGCTCCAGTTGGGCGACGGCTGCGCCTTGGACAGCCAGTTGAAGTCGTCCACGTCACTCCAGTTGTTGGTGTCGGCGGCCAGGCCGGTGGTGGCCCAGTCGGCCGCCACGTCCGCGCCGGTCAGCGTGTACGGCGCGAACCGGAGCCGCTGGCAGTGCTCGACCACGGCGCGGCTGGTGACGTGCAGGTAGAGGTCGCAGTCGGCGCTGGTGTGGGCGCGCAGCTGCTGGCAGGCGGCCGCCAGCGTGCACCGCTGGCAGTCCTCCAGGAACACGGAGCTGGTGACGGGGCCCAGCAGGAGCCGGCAGTCGCGCAGGTGCGACAGGTGCACCGTGGCCGGCGCGCCCGTCACGCGCACCGTGCACCGCGTCAGGCACGTCAGCGTCACGTCGCGGCCCGTCACGGCCGCGCCACCCAGCGCCAGGCGCGCGTCCGTCTGGCCGCTGAAGCCGCACTGGTCGCCGGCGGCGGCCGGGTCCGCTCCCGTCGCCGGCTCGGTCGGCGCCGCCGCCTCGGCCGGGCGCGGCTCGGCACGCGCCGCCCGCTGGCCGCGGAAGCCGAACCGTTTGCGGGGCACCAGCTGCTCCTGGCGCTGCTGTACGAAGTGCTGCAGCTGGCGGGCGCGCTCCTGCGCCCGGCGCAGCTCGAAGGCCGGTAGAAAGGCGGCCGAGTCGGCGATGAACCGATGCACGCTCTGCAGCCGGCGGCTGGCCCCGTCCAGCGCGTCGCCCACGGCCGCCCGGTCGGCGCCGTCCGGCAGCGCCAGCTCGGCGCGCGCCGCCGCCTCCTCGCGCTCCAGCGCCGCCCAGAAGTGGTCGGCCTGCTCGGCCTGGGCGGCGCCGGCGGTGCGCTCGGAGCGCCGCTGCGCCTGCGACTCTAGCCGCTCGCGGTGGCGCTCGTCCAGCCGCTGGCCGAGCTCCCTGCGCCGCTCAGAGGAGCCGATCACGTCGGCCGGCGGCGCGGCAGCGTCCCCGGAGCCCACCAGGTCGGCCATGGCCGCCACAGGCGCTGAGCGGCTCACCCCGCTGCACTACAGCACAACACACGGCGGCTGGCAGAGGACTCCAGTAGAGGCGACGATGGGCTGACCTGGAACATGGGTAAAGCCATAAGAAAGGAGATGCTGCCGGCATTGTGTGGACTGCTGTCATTTTGATGACCTTTTTACGGCCAAAATATAAAACTCCACCCGAAAAGTGGGGGACGGGCTTGTCTTTATATATGTTACGGGTCATATGCTAACTTGGGCAGTATGCAAACTACCCAACAGCCCGGGCAGTATGCATACCGCCCGGGTAGTATGAATACTACCCGACCCCTTGGGCAGTATGCATACCGCCCGGGAAGTTTGCATACTGCCCGGGTAGTATGCATACTAGGGTGTGTCATACTAAGGGTTTTTCTCTTTGATCTTGAGGAGACAGCGATTTTTTATGGCCTATGGTATTATGAAATTGATTTATTAGCACCAGAACACTTAGCATGCGTTAATTGAGTGCCGCGAACGATTTTTGGCGGATGGGCCCGAACCGACCTAATCTACCCCAGCGACATCTGTAATGATGGTTTTTGTTGGTGGCGCCACCTAGGACAACCGTATTTTTGATGTGACTGATAGTTGACGCCCTCGCGTTTGGCCCCTGATCGAGCTAGACCTTCGCGGAAAAAAACGAGCGTGTTGCCCGTCACGAGAGGAAGCCGATGATACCCAATTTTAAGGTCCTAGGTCATCGGGTGACCTTCCAGGTCAGGTCAATGACCCGAAAACCGGGAAAATCGGGACCTGTTAGAAAGTCGTAAAGTGTGGCTGCTATGTGGTTGTCCGGGGTGTTGGTCACGAATATCGTGTTAGTTTTGATCAGAGATGATGTATTTAAGCATTTAGACCAGGTCGGGTCAGGTCAGGTCAACCGGTAGGGGTTGTGACGGGTATTCGTAATACGTGTCAACCGCCTCTGACAGCTTCGTAACATGTTACGAAGGCACCAAAACTACTTCGTAAATGTTCAAATGGTTGCTAAATTCCAATTCAGCTCCAAAAACTAGCCTAGAATCATGTAAAACTCGAAAAAGTGAACCGAGGTCACCCGAGGTCACCAAAGGTCAATGACCTGACCTACCCTTCAGGTGACCTTGACACCCACCCTAATGTATGGGAGCAACATCAAATCACATGTTTGAACGTTTGAAACCACGAAAAGCTTGCAAACGCGCGGCTAATGCGAGCCGACATACGCCGAATCGCGATTCCGGCCAAACATGGTCTCGGAAAAGAGGTCACAGGTCAAAGGTCATTTGGGTCAGGGTCCTGAAATTTTCAAGGTAAGTGTAAAATTGATAAATGCGAGGGTACTGAAAGTTTCGTTGCGATCGGCAGCTTTTTACGCGAGTTATTTGCGAAAAACCTTAGGGGGTTGCATCAATCCCCTGTACCGGCGAGGGTTAATGCAACTGGTAAATATCCTACTTTCTATTTTAATTACCTTCTTCTAAACGAATTTATTGCGTCAGGGGCGGATCCAGGAAAACTCCAAGGGGAGGGTCATGAATCGAAGTGGTGCCCCTACCTATACCCAAAATTAAAAACTCAACGGATTTCGTCCACTTCATTTTGGTGGTGCCCCCATTTCAGTTTTTTTATTTTTATTTTTTATTTTTAGTCAGTATCTTACCTCTTAGCCACAACCACATTTACCAATTGTAAGCAAGTATATATGAATGTGCTATGTGTATATATGTTGTGGACGCTGAGTAATGAGTACTTACCAGGAACGTTATCAGGTAAGCAAATCGTTGTCAGTCCGACGAACTTGACCCTGGCGTCTAAAGGGTCTGTCCTTGACACTTCAGGCTTGTCAGGGGCACCAAAGTCCTTCCAGGGACACCACAAACCTGTCAGGGGCACCTACGGCCTTGTAGGGGCGCCACAGGCCCGCCAGGGGCACCACAGGCCTGCCAGGAAGCAGGGGCACCACAGGTCTAGCAAGTATACACGACAGGCCTGTCAGGGGCACAACGGGCCTGTTGGGCCCATGAGCACCCCTAGGGGCAGGGGCACCACAGTCCTTCCAGGGGCACCGCAGGCCTGTGAGGGGCACCAGCGGCCTAGCAGGGGCACCAGTCAACACAGGCCTGCCAGGGGCACCACAGACCTGCCAGGGGCACCAGAGGCCTGCCAGGAGCACCACCGACCTCGCAGGGGTAACTTGGGCCTGTCAGGGCCCAGGGGCACCACGGGCCTGTCGAGAGGCACTTCAGGCTTTTCAGGGGCACCATAGTCCTCTCAGGGCGCAGGGGTAGCAGGGGCACCAGAGGCCTGCCAGGGGCACTACAGGCCTAGCAAGGGCACCACTTGTCTATCAGGGGCACCACGAGCCTGTCATAGCCAGGCATCTCAGGCTTGTCAAGGCCCAGCGGCACCACAGGTCTGTGAGGGGCACCAGCGACCTAGCAGGGGCACCAGTCAACACAGGTCTGCCAGGGGCGCCACAGACCTGCCAGGGGCACCAGAGGCCTGCCAGGGGCACCACCGGCCTCGCAGGGGCACCTTGGGCCTGTCAGGGGCACGACGGGCCTGCCGAGGGGCACTTCAGACTTTTCAGGGGCACCAGTCCTCTCCGGGCGCAGGGGCACCAGAGGCCTGCCAGGGGCACCAGCGGCCTCGCAAGGGCACCAGAGGCCTGCCAGGGGCACCACAGGCCTAACAAGGGCACCACGGGCCTGTCAGGGGCACCTCAGGCTTGTCAGGGCCCAGGGACACCACAGTCCTTCCAAGGGCACCGCAAGCCTGTCAGGGGCACCAGAGGCCTACCAGGGGCACCACAGGCCTAGCAAGGGCACCTCTGGCCTGTCAGGGGCACCTCAGGCTTGTCAGGGCCCAGGGGCACCACAGTCCTTCCAGGGGCATTACAAGCCTGTCAGGGGCACCAGAGGCCTAGCAAGGGCACCACAGGCCTGCCATGGACACCACAGGCCTGCCAGGGGCACCACCGGCCTTGCAGGGGCGCCTCAGGCCTGTCAGGGGCACCACGTGCCTGCCGGGGACACTTCAGGCTTGTCAGGGGCGTTACAGTCCTGTCAGGGCCCAGGGGCACCAGGCCCGTGGTGTCCCTGCTAGGCCTGTGGTGCCCCTGGCGGTCCTGTGGTGCCCCTGTCAGGACTGTGATACCCCTGATAGGCCGGTGGTGCCCCTGGAAGGTCTTTGGGCCCCCGGGCCTCAAGGGGGGGGCCATGACCCATGTGACCCCCCCCCTTGGATCCGCCCCTGTATTGCGTTAGCAGAAGCACGCAATAAACAAATATTGGATACAATATTCGTTCTGTGTGAGTGATATATGTGGAAAAAGGGTGCCGTTTTGCGTGTCTTATGGCATAGTGCGGCACAGCTGATCTCCGATGCCGAAAACCCAATCTAAAACAACATTTTGTGTTGGGTCCCAGGTCGGGAGAGAGACCCTGAGACTGACAGAGGCCCTCAAGTCGATAGAGGACCTCCCCAAGTGGGGAAACGCCCCCCCCCCCAATTGACGTAAGACCCCTTGGACGAACAAAGAGCCCCTCAGGCTGACGGAAGGCCCTCTCGGTCCAAAAAGGGCCCCTCGCGCAAATAACGGTTCTTTTACACTAACAGAGGACCCTTCAGATGTTAGTCAGAGAACCCCATCATGTCATGAGCTCACCTCATAGGGCAGCTTGGAGCGCCCGACAACAAGCCTCGCTTCGTTGGGTGCTCTGGGAGCCCGGGCTACCTTGCTGCTGACATACGCTGAACTGAATCTGACCTGAGTTTGATGATGACTTGGCTATGACTGTGAATTCCCCTCCAACCTGCCCCAGTGGACTTGGACACTTCCCCAAACGTGTATGAATGTTATGAATGTAATGGATGTGTGAGTGTCCTGATAAATGGGGTGGGCTTTCAGTAGTGGGCAGTCACCACTGGGCCTCTTCACTAGCTCTGAAGAGGGTCCCTTGGACTTCAACCAAACTATAAGAAATAAATATAAAATAAAAATTGAAAAAGAGGCCGATCAAAAATAAAGTGGGTGAAGTCCGCCCTAAAAAAATTGGGTAGGGTATACGTAGGTAAAGCCCCCATACCTAGGTACATGTGGGGTCCCGATTTGAAACAGCCCAACCCGGAACTTTTGAAACTTCGAAGGGTCCTGCCGTCAGCTTCGCCGCTTCGGGGACAGGGGCCCATGGAAGGCCCAAGGAGGGTCCCTAGGGACCATTAGGCCATAGGGGCCCCCTTCGCTACGTTACTGGCCAGCTCACGGGTTGTGGGCGATGAGGCGCGGCACGGCCATATCACGGCAAGCTTCAAACACCGCAAAATCATCCCCGTATTCAACTCCAAGCGAGATGTGCTGACATAAGCTCGTCATCATGATTACACGCTGCAGCGCCAAGGCTTACCGTATACCACCATCCATGATCCAACTGTGCTATTGTCAAACTGCATTAACCCTCTAATGCCCACACATAGTTCCACGGTTCCTAAAATTAGCACCTTGTGACATATGATTCATTTTGGGTCCCTTGTTCGAAATCTGGAGTCAAATATTTTTTAGCAGTTCAAATTTCGGAAATAAATTTTGTATCAAATATGATACATTGGGCATTCCACTTGGTAATTTTTAGTGGTATCAGACCACACAGAAGGAAGTGAAGACATAGATGAGAAAATATATATTATTAAAAATTTCAGTGATAAAAGTGGCAGTTAAAATGTGTAAAATGCCAACAAGACATCCTTTACTGTGCACTTTTTATCAGAACATTTTCTTAATATTTCATTGGCATCCTTCTTGTATCAAAATGTCCTTTCAGTCGGTGCTTAGGGAACAACGCTAATCATAGGCATCTATTTACGAGTGCCTTCTATTCCTTCAATTTCCACGATACGGCGCGTTGCACTTGTGCAATTTTTCATAATTCAGACATGTGGGCCGTGTTTCTCAAACGTAAACGCGTTATTACGGAGCGAGCGAAGCGAGCGGAGTCTTTCCTTAGATTAACGGAAATTTCTGAGGTAAAACTGGGTATCATTGGATTCGTCTCTTCCCAAAGAATCTTTTTGGTCTTTA